ATCACTTTGAGGGCTGCTATGGCATCTGGGGAAATCAACGACACGTGGAGGATGTTTGAGGACATGAGCTTCCGTGACGCGATCCAAACACTTCAAGCTGAGACGAGCCTCCCTTCTGAGTGACTGAACACAGCTCTGTACATTAGCACCGGAAAAGCTTTTTGTATTTGAATCTTGTCGACATTTGCTGCGATGGTCTTCCAAAAATCAAACCCCGCTACAAGCGGGGTGTGTGTGTGTAACATCTGAACAGATGTAAAACTTCTTTGACTCTTACCGTTTTACATTTGCAGGGAACCTTTTTACATTTGCAGGGGGCACCTGGAGCATGGATAGGTCAGGTGCCAACGAAGACACCTATCCAATGCTTGTGATATCACGGCTGATCACCGTGACGTACCTGCCAATTTGCAGATCGGTTTCAACTGTTGATCAAGCTGTTACACTGCGTTGTTTCGAATCTACACGGTTGCCACAATCTGTATTGCATGCATCAGAACCTTCCTCAGATTTTCGCCGAAACCATATCGCCGACAGTATTATGATTTTTGACATTTTTTCGCCGAGATCATGTCGCCGATGAACTTTGGGTCATTTTGGGAAACAATCGCCGAAACATTATTTTGGATTTTCAACCTGCTGGTCAAAACTCTTTGGACGCTGGTTTTAACTACGTTTGACAATATTGGATGCCCTACATCGTTTTCGAGAAGTACCTCATATGGCTCCTTTATTAATCTAACGATCTAGGCTGGTTTGCATGTTTCAGGATTCAGTTCCTGCCGGATCATATAATGATCCATTCTTGTCTAGTGTGTGTGTGTGTTGTGTCTGTGTGTTGTGTGTGTGTGACACATCTGTATAGATGTAAAACTTCTTTTACTTGTTATATATATATATGCGGGGGATCACCGGGGTCCCGGGGGGGTCGGTGATCAACGAAGACACCTCCCCGGAACCCGTGCAAACGTACCCGCGGGACTGTGGTGACGTACCTGGGCGCATTTTAGACGCAGCTGGTGGTCACCACAGTCCCATATATATATAATAATATATATATATTTATTTATTACTTCATCCTTATCTAAGTAACTAATCTAATCTGCATGTTACAGGACTCAGTTCCTGACGGATCACTCAAATGATCCATTCTAATCTAATGTGATTCCTATGGTGACTCCGACATGGTGCCATAGGGCCAATTGAGGCAACCCCAGTTGGGGTCAATGTCGACTGACTTGAATTCCGAATTTACACATTTGAATTATTAATTCGTTTACGTAATGTGCAACAGCTGGCCTTGCAGTTCTGCACCATTTTTGTGATGTCCCGCTGGTCCTTTGGTCCCAGGGTTCCTCGTCGAATTTCCTGTCTACCAGAGTGAAGCCGTTCGAAACAATCAGAAACTTCTTTTTTGCCCCTGCAGCTTGAGTTTTCGAAGATCAACATGACATGTACGACTACAGGCAACAGGCATGTCCTTTTCCTGCAGGTGTGGTCTCTTTGGTATCTCGTGAGGTGAAACATGTTGTGCACCTAATTCGTTGGAACTTGAAAGCCGTTTTATGCCAATTGGGGCAAGACTTGAACACGGGCCTGGAGTGGCACAACGCACGACTTCTAGGTTTTAGGAACTGAATCCTGTTTTAATTTTTGTGTTTTCACCAACTAATCCCCATTGGTCCCCTATCTCATGCGTTCTTCCCTCCCCAGGTAGGTCGGCTCCGTCGCGTGCTGAGGTGTGTGTAGGTTCTCGCTGTGTCAGGTTGGTTCAGGCGCTTTCGTCCTTCCCCCCCTCCGCTGGTCTTGTTCCGTGTCCGTCGACCCTCCGCTTTTCTTTTCCCTTGCCCTTTCAGGGTTTGCCCGCTCCGGGCCAGGTGTGTCGTGTTGGTGTTCTCTCCTTCTTCTTTTGCGTTCCCCTCTTCGCGTCCTGGTTAAGTAATTTTCATCTCATCTTCAAGGTCATCTCTCCTTCACTTCCCCCCCATCCTCATCTTCACCTCATTTCCCGTCGCACCACCCTGCCAAAGGCAGGGTGTGTGTGTGACACATCTGTATAGATGTAAAGCTTCTTTTACTTGTTATATATATATATGCGGGGGATCACCGGGGTCCCGGGGGGGTCGGTGATCAACGAAGACACCTCCCCGGGACCCGTGCAAACGTACCCGCGGGACTGTGGTGACGCACCTGGGCGCATTTAAGACGCAGCTGGTGGTCACCACAGTCCCATATATATATATATTTATTACTTCATCCTTATCTAAGTAACTAATCTAATCTGCACGTTACAGGACTCAGTTCCTGACGGATCACTCAAATGATCCATTCTAATCTAGTCTGTGTGTTGTGTGTTGTGCGCGCGTCTGTCGTTTGTTTTGTTTCCCTTTTCCTTGTGGCTTTTCCCTCTTCGTCTGTTGCCCCCTGGAGGTGCTTCATCCTGGACTTTGACAGCAAGGAGAACGCGATGCTTGGCTTGGCCGCTTGGGTTGGGCGGTTTTCTGGTTTGGTGGTTGGGTGGTTGGTGGCTGGTTGGTGGCTGGTTGGTGGCTGGTTGGTGTCACCTGAAAAGGATGAAGCTTGCAGCGATGATGAGCATGACCTCAATGGATGGGTGCGCAAATTGGATGTTGTGCATGTTTTTGCCCAAAAGCAGGGCCCAGCTGCGGCATTTGGCCGCATTTTACTTGCAGAACACCCTGATGCCAAAGGTCTCCAATGCCAACCCCTTGTTTGCAGAGTTCACCAAAACCGTTGTGAACGGCAACTTGTTGCACACAAAGCATAGCCGAGAGATGTGGATCAAGGCGACTGAATCTAACCGCTCGCAGCGGTTTGCCAAAGTCCCCAAAAGGGGAAAGGCGTGAGCTTTACGCCGTGAGCGGGCAGCGTTAAAAAAAGCATGGCGCAAGCAGCTTTGAAGAGAAAGGTGTGACATCATTTCTAGGCTGTACCACCGTGTTGGCTACTTGCAAAACAATCCTGTGCTGTCACTTCAACACATGAAACGCAAACTAAACATCAATTGATGTGACCCTGCTGTGACCCCCTCGCATCGATTTCTCCGCAGAGGAAACGCATGGATTTGGGAAAACATGATGTAACTAAACGAGTCGCTTTTAGACAAATTAATTAGATTAGATAGATAGATTCATTAGATTAGATAGATAGATAGATGGATAGATAGATAGACAGATAGACAGATAGATAGACAGATAGATAGAGAGACATTTTGATCAATAGATAGACGGAGAGATAGATAGATAGATAGATGGATGGATGGATGGATGGATGGATAGATAGATAGATAGATCGATAGATAGATAGATAGATCGATAGATAGATAGATAGATACATACATAGATAGGTGGGTAGGTAGGTAGGTAGATAGTCAGAGAAAGAGAGAGAAAGAGAGGAGACCTCAACCACCTTTCGGTCCATTGGTCCATCAGTGGCTTCGCTCTGCCATCCCTGATTCACAACAACCAACCTCTCCTATTGAAACTTCCGCCACCGCCTTGTGCGGTACTACTGGTGGCAGTAGTACCATGCATAACAGTAAAGACAATGAACAAAACTACTACCATTTACTCAGTAGTAGTACGATTCACACTTACCATATATTCAACGTTTAAAAATGAATTTCCCATAGCAAACTGTTAGAAACCAGGTGGTATATACCAATATGTAATATTTGACATTCCATTAAAATTGCATTAGGAGTCCATCGATATTCCACTCATCCCATTATTTTATGGCTTGCCAGAGGGTTACCCTCCGGTAATCAAACATGGCTTGCTGGAAATCCACCATTTACGTATGTACATATACCATCTGGTTATTCAACAGTTCGCCATGGAAAATCACCATTTTTAATAGGTAAACCATCTATTTCTATGGGCCATTTTCCATGGCTATGTTAAATAACCAGAGGGTACATACATACATATATATATATACATATATCTAGATATAGATAAATTTCCCAGCTATAAACCTCAATCGATAGGGATGTTTTTGGTAAGGTCCCCTTGAGGGCGTCGCGGAGTGTGTTGTCGTTTTTTCAGGTTTGCGTATTCGTCGAATCACTCATTTCATTGCGGTGGGGTGGGGGGTGGGGTGGGGGGGGGTTGGGGGGGTGTTGGGGGGGGGCTGATAACGTTCTTGTTTATTAACGTTCCTGCATCTGCGTTCTTGACACGCTTTTCACTTTTGCAAGTGACGGTTTGACACGCGTTCGATCTTTTGGTTTTGATATGTTGACGTTGGTGTCCGGTGGCGTGTGGGCATGGGGTTGGGTTTGGATGGGGATTAGAACGTTCACGTTAACCAGCGTACCTGCAACTACTTGCTTACACGCAGTTCTTCTTTGCATTTCAGATTTTGCAACGCGCATTTTTTTGTGCGTTGTTAGAAGAGTTTTTAAAATAAAATGATCTCATGTCTTTCTTCTTGGAAGAGCATCAAGAAATGGATTCCAGACACCTTGGAAACTACTGGCCGCTTCAGCAGACGAATCAACCCACATTTGCTGCAGTACATCCGAAGTTGGCAGTGGTGATCTCAGGAAAAGAATGACTGTGTCTCACACCTGTCCAAAGCTTTGAAAGCAATGTATGCGCGATGAGGTTTAAAAAAAAAAGTTACTTCGGAGACCCCTCTTGGAAGATGCATTTTGACAACCCTCACGAAATGCAGGTTTTTAAGGCGTTGTGCGTTGAAAAACGCGCGACGCCCTCAAGAGGACCTTCCCTTGTTTTTCCAGCTAGCCACGTTTCATCATACTGAAGGGTATATCCCATTAATATTCCATCATTAATATTCCATCATTAATATTCTGTCATGAATATTCCGTCATTATATCCCAATTAATATTCCACCATTCATATTCTTTCATTATATCCCAATCAACATCCCATTCATATCCTGTACAAAACACCATTGATATAATTTATATTGATATAATGCCATTCTATTGTAAAATCCCATTCATATGCCAGGAGCGAGAGGAGCACATGGCGTCGGAGATCCTGCGACGCCACGTCAGCGGCGCGCAGTGCCTGGTGCTCTGCTGCCCGGCCAGGTGCGACGCTGGAGTTTTCCCAGGAAAATGATCGACATTCATGGTGAAACCCACATCGAACTGTAAGTTTACCCTGGGGATAACCAGCTGAGAACCAGAGAAAACGACATATTTTACTGTTTCAACTATGTAGCAAGAACTGAAGGTTGAAACCAGAGAAGAGAAGGTTTAGGCTAGACACAATGGGGTTTCAACAGTATGGATTGATGGTTTGGGATGGTTTGGGATGATTGGACTTGAACGCTTTGTAACTGAATTTCGGGTGATGTACCATATGTTGACCCCGCATCGTGTCCAAATCACGACCGTTTTGGCCAACCTCACGATTTGAGGGATATCTTGGAAAGCTGGGGGCTGCAAGAGTCAAATTTAGGTACCTTCTGGTTATTTATGATGATTTACCCATTAAGAATGGTGATTTCCCATAGCTACGTTAAATAACCAGAGGGTAACTCTTGTCGATAGTGGAAATATCATGATCCCTCAAACATTTCGATGCAAAGTCTAGGCTAACCTTTCACTGGAATTGGCCATAAAAAATATTCAAAACATTTTTTTCTGTAGGGCATTTTTTTCATCATGTTTTTTCGCCATGTGAATCCAGTTGTAACTATGTCCCAACTTGTAATTCGGTGGGTTTTGATCACAAGGAGAGAAGCGCTAGAAAGGCGCTTGGCACAACCCGAGGTGCCACTTTGGGATGTGAAGGGGAGAGCACAAGGGGGTCATTGCAATAGTTGCAAATTATCATATGATCCAACCATAAGTGGACATTAATCATAATAGAGTATTGACCATATGGATCCATATGGTATATTGAGATTGTATGGGTTATCCTCAATGATCATAATAGTTAATAGTTCAAAGGGGGTTGAACAAAGGGGATGCTATAGAGGAAATATTAGGAAACCTCAAGTATCGATATAGTTGGGATTTCACATGATTTCACCAACCATAAATTTGGGATTTTGAACGGGGAGTTTGCACTTGTTATGGATGTATTCTGGTAGAAGATATGAAGATTTGCGATGACAAATCACCTGGATGACAGCCTTTCCCGACGTAGCAAAGCCCTATCAGCCTATAGTTATAGTTATAGCTATGATTATAGTTATAGTTATTATAGTTATGCCCTATATTGTTATTATAGTTTTAGTCATATCCCATGATATCATCATGGTTGGTAAATCCAGAAGAACCAGGTCATTCCTTGAGACGAATCGTGGCTCGGGGCAGGCGGAATCGGCGATTCCCGCAGTCGCCACATCGAGGAGCGGAGCTCGGGATCCATCTTCCATGGCTGGCGAGTGGGGGGGATTAACCAGCAACCATAGGGTAACCATAGGGTAACCATAGGGTAACCATATGGTAACCATAGGGTAACCATAGGGATTTATAGCATTTTATAGGATGTTATAGGATTTTTATAGGGATATGATACTGAATATACTGGGATATCATGGGATTTAGCCTCCAGTAAACGACGCGATGGAAAAACCACCATGAATTGTAGAACATTTCCGAACAGGAAACAACATTTTTTTTTTGCATAGGCATCTTACCAAAGGGTGTGAGTTTCCCAACCACAGCTTCTGTTGTTTTTATGCAAACATAAAAACAATATACATAAGACATGGCTCCAGAACTCAGCCCCATGAGTCTGAGGCTGTAGCCTGTGAATTCAGCCAGAAAAAAGAAACAGCTGATGGCACTGGCACCCAAAAAGGACAGAACAGTTGGAACCTTGGAAATGATGAGGAAAGCACCATCCAACTCCCATCCTGGTTGGGGGTTCCAATCAGCAGTTCCTCAGTTCCCCATGAGCCCTACCAAGGGGTTCCCCTTGGCTGTCAGGATATGGCCTTTTCTGCTTGTCCTGGTCTATGTGGCAGCTGGGCAATTGGAGGTTGACCCTGGCAACAAACCTGGGAATTTCGTCAACGGAAATGGCGGACATCGTCTGTAAATCACTTTGCCCGGAAATGGTAAATCCCACCAAGTTGTAACCAAAGGAATGTGGCACCCTATTCGCAGAATCACTGAACCACAATCAGCATATTTGTGTGTGTCTGAAAAGGGGGTATACCGCACAATGGCACTTTTGATAGGGAACATATGATGATAAACCTGCAGATTTAGGGTACCCTATTTTCAGATGCACCCCCTCACATTGTTTGTTGTTATGTCCCATATATCACATATCCATCAAATATATCCAAAATATATCCAAGTTTTCCCGAATTCTTCCTGGTTCAATCCCATTTGTGTTGCTTTCCATCCACATCAAATGGATAGTTTAGTCCCGTATTTTTCCCTATATTTTTGCTGATCTCTCCCTCTCTCTCTCTCTCTTTCTTATATCCTCCTCCTCCTCCTCATCCTCATCAGCATCATCAGCATCATCACCATCATCATCATCATCATCAGCATCATCAGCATCATCACCATCATCATCATCATCATCATCTCGTCACTGGTTGATATTCCCATAATATTCAGAAATCATCATTTTCATATCTAGTCTGAATCATGTCCAATCCTTTTTTCATTACTGGTTGGTGGTTTGGAACATGACTTTCATTTTTCCATTCAGTTGGGAATGTCATCATCCCAACTGACGAACTCATATTTTTCAGAGGGGTAGGTACACCACCAACCAGATTATTATTAACCATCATTAACCATAACAATATATAAACCATCATTAACAGTATATTAACCACATACTATATAACCACATATTTATATGGAACCCTCACTTCTTGGCGAAGTCCCATGATTCCCAGCGACTTTGCAAAACATCAGGTCATCCCCGGCTATGGCACGACCTTCATCTTCTGGCGCTTGGCCAAAGGCCGGCATGGGGAGTTCACCAACAGGGATTTAATGGGTTTTACTGGCATATAATGGGGATTGAATAGGGATATGATAGGGTTATAATATATGACCAAACAAATACATAGCAGATTTTGATTGGATTTTCACTCAACCAACAATAGTGACTTAACCAACAACAATAGGGAATAACCACATATAATAGGGATTGAATAAGTGGGTTGCTCCAGTCGATTGCACATGACAGCCGCAAGGAGGAGAAATGGGTCAGTTTTACCGGCAACCCTAAATAACTGATGATTTTCACCAACCATAGATTCCATAGATGGTGATTTCTTAAGTCACCATGGTTGTTTCAATTTTCTAAGTCGTGCTCTGACGGATGATTTGGGGGAGAAAACTTGGGAACCTGAGCGGATTTTGCAGCAAACATGGAGGATTTAAACAGCAGACACGGGCGACTCCCGGGACATGATCACAAAACTCAATATTAATATACCTTTACTATGGTTAATGATGGTTAATGATGGTTAATGATGGTTAATGATGGTTACTGATGGTTAATGATGGTTAATGATGGTTAATGATGGTTAATGATGGTTAATGATGGTTAAAAACTCATTAACCATCATTTAACTCCCGGGACATGTGTAAATATTATGGAGATGTCAAAGACTGTAGGTGATGGTCAGCAATGAGAGCCAACCCCATTTTCATGTTCCTTAAATCATCTTCAATCAGGATTGTTTTTGTATAAGTATATATGCTCACCCCCCGCCATAATCTACCCCAATGATTCCCAATGAAGGTCTTACCTTATCTTTCCTCATGGCCCACCTTTGACCACTATGCAAGACCCTTTTGGTGCTCTCTTCTCATAAAAAGGTTGATGTCGCCTTGGAGATGCAGAAATAAACATTGGCAAGATGGGAAGAAACAAGTGTTCAAAGCATTTGATTTGCAGAAACATGTTGTTACAAGAAGTGCTGCTTACAGGTTACATTCTGCCTTGAAGACAAGATATCCCCTCAAATAAGAAACACTATTTTTTCAAGAAAACAATCATGTCTGGAAGGATGCAATACATGCTTTAATGAAGCGCAGCCTTCCTCTCACTTCTCTTGTATGACCATGGTTTTCTGTTTTTCGATGAAGTAGAGGTAACAGAGTAAGAATAATTAGCGTTGATCAACCATATTTAAAATACAATGACTATATAACTGCAGGCTAGCACGGCTAGAATATTGACGTATTCATCCTGGAGGATCCAGCGGGCTCCGTGACCCAGGTCCGGGTGGAATTTTCCACAATATTCGATTTCTGCATTGCACTTAGAATATTCGATAATGAAGATATAAAAACATTACTTCTTGCTCAATAGCTGCTAAATAGTTGCTACATAGCTGCCAAAATTGTTACTAAATAGCTGCGCAATAGCTCCTAAATAGCTTTTAAATAGCTGCTAAATACCTGCTAAGTAGCTGCTAAATAGTTGCTAAATAGTTGCTAAATAGTTGCAAAATAGCTTCTAAATAGTTGCTGAATAACTGTCAAATAGCTGCTAAATAGTTGCTGAATAACTACTAAATAGGTGCTAAATAGTTGCTAAATAGCTGCTAAATAGGTGCTAAGTAGCTGCTCTATAGCTGCTCAATAGCCGCTAAATAGTTGCTGAATACCTGCTAAATAGCTGCTAAATAGCTTCTAAATAGTTGCCAAGTAGCTGCTGAATAAGTGCCAATAGCTGCTAAATAGTTGCTAAATCGAACAATGAGGTGAATGGATTCATGTGACTTTGGAATATTCTAACTGCTATTGTTTTCCGAATATTCTAAGTCGAGCGGTGTATCATTTTGGAATATTCTAACTGCTGACGTATAATTTTGGATTATTCTAACTGCTAGCAGGTAGTTATACCTTTACTATAGCTTCAATATATCTTTAATATACCATTCTATTGACCACGAAAATATCTTCAAGATACCTTTAATATGTCTTTTAAATACAATGTAATACACCTTCATTTTTTTTTAATGCAATGTAATATACCTTTAGTATGCCTTTATATAAATACACTTTTCTTGGCAATGTTTTTGCCTCTAATATACCTTTAGGATACCTTTTGTATACCTTTGATATAGCTATTAAATGCTATCCAGCTCATCTATACTATATATACTGTACTTGTAATATACACTTTAATATACCTTTAGTATATCATTTGATATACCTAGAATCTACCTTCGATATACCATTTACTTGACCTTGAAAATAACTCCAGTATGCCTTGACGATACCTTCAATACGTATACCTTTAACATACCAGCTAATTTACCAGTTAATATACCTTTAGTGTACCATTTAACAAAACATGAGAATACCTTGAATATATTTTTAATAGACCTTTAACATACCTTTAATATATCTTTAAGTTTTTTGATATTCCTTTTGACATACTGTTGATAGACCATGTCATATTCTTTGAGTGTATCATTTAATATACCATGAATATACTTTTTTCCAATATCCCTTCAATATACCATTTATTGACCATGAAAACATGTTTTGATTATTAATATACCTTCCATATACCTTTGAAAAGCCGTCTAATATGCCTTGACAATACCATTTCATATACCTTTAATATACCGTCTCATATAACATGCGTTTACCCTGAATATACCTTTACCAATACTTTAATATACTTGTAATGTACCTTTAGCATATTGCATACATACAACCATGATTTGTTTCTTTCAAGAAATACTACATACACCCAAGGGCTCTACTTCATAGTAATGTTTCTCTGTATTATTGCATGCTTGTCAATAATGATTCACCCCCCTCGTGAAGGAAACTTTGCCCATACTTGCACAAACACTTTCTTTTTTCAATACAACAATGATTTTACATAGATACTCAGAGGATTCCGTTCTCAAATGTCCTGCTTGCATAGATTCCCTTACCTCTTTATATAAAGCTGTAAGTCTCTTTTAAAATAACCTTACATTCCGTTCAAAGAAGTGCTGCTTTATGCAAGGAACGCAGTCTTTGAAAAATATTGCTGAAGCTTGTTTGCTTCTTCTATTTTCAGGTCGTAGCTGTGTGGAATTTCTTCCCATGGTTTTAAGTAAACTTCTGGGTGATGAACCAATCTGCACATTATATGCCCAAGAGTAATGCTACACTAACAACTCTTTTCTGAATATATTGTATACTGTTTTCGATGAATACTGCATAGACTAAGAGAGCTTTCTTATTGAAGTAATTCTGTGCTCTTTCAAAGGGACCTCACACGTTTGTTGGTATTTTCTACGGAATACTGCGCCCATGAAAGAGTCTTGCAAAGTATGCTAGTTTAAAACAATGTTCCAGTTTCTCATACTTTTCGTAGTCGAATAATTCAAAGAGTGATGCTGCGCTACGACATGTGCTTAAGAATACAACACACATCAAAAGAGTGTTGCGTCCATTCAAAGACTTTCTTTCAAGGCAAAACTTGTTCAAAGTACTACTGCATCTATCCCTTTGAAAGAATACAATCTTTTAAAAAATGCTCCATCATTTTATGCAATATGTCCGATACTCTTTCAAAAGAGTACTGCATCCATTTAAGGACTTTCTTTCGGTAAGGCTCTTTCAAAGTACTACTACTGCATCTATTGATGCATTCTACTACACAGAAACCGTACATTCTTTTACAACATTCCCCACTGGCCTCAACTATTTTACGCAATGTGTCCGGTACTCTTTGAATCAAATACTGCATCCAATGAAGGACTGTCTTTACAGGTAAGATTCTTTCAAAGTCCTGCAGCATCTATGAAAGCATTCTGTTACAAAGCAATCTTACATGTTCTCAAAGAAATACCCCACCATTCCCCCCAAAGTATCCAAAAGTGTCAGTTTCCAGGTACTTATATACTTTGTTTGAATATGTCAAACCTAGACAGGAATGTGTATGTACGAATCCAAGGTTCCAAGATTTGCACAGAAGCTGCTAGAGATAGAGCAGGAAAGCGCTGCAACAGCTAATTTTCAAGTGCATAAACATCACAGCACATCCTATGCCAAGCTTAGTCTCGCATAGTGCGCAAGCTCTTGAGTGAGAAACTTTGATCAAAGTTTGATTTTCCAGGACCGACAAGGTAAGCAAGCATAAGGACACAGCTGGCAATCCTGTGAATCAATAGAAAAAAAGAACTCGAGCAAGACCAAAAAACAGAAAAACCAAAACTTTTGAGAGAATGTTTGGTTTTGACTCAAAAGATGTTTTTTTGTTTTTCCCTAGTTTTTTTCTAAGTTTTTTTTGTGTGTCTGAAATGGAAAACCAAAAAGAACATTTTTTTTGAATGGATATGATGTATCAAGATCTCAAAAAACAAAAAACTTTTTTGTTTTTTTCAACATTTTTGGTTTGGTTTTCTGCATTGAAACCTGTCAAAAACATTTTTGGTTTGGTTTTCTGCATTCTCCCAAAAGTCTTTGGTTTGTTTTTTTTGGTTTTGCTTGAGTTTTTTTGTTTTTCCAGGTTTTGTTTGCTTTTCTCGATGTGGCCCAAGTTGTTCGAGCTTCAGGTTCCAAGCTCAGGCCCCGCCCAAAGAGTCTCAAAATATTGTTTTTATAATACACGTATATATACAATTATGGTTGCAGCAGATGATAGGGGTGACCAGGGGGTGAAGTGGTCAGACAAAAGTTTTGAATCAGTCATTGCCATTGAACAATAATGCATTAGATATTATAATTACAACCCAAATATAGTGAAACATCCATGTGCAGAAACCTGACCCCCATGAGCGCCCCTTCTGTAAGTTATTGAATTTTTGGTTATGCTTTATATGCAAAAACATATGGTGATTCCCATATAAAATGCTTCTAGGTAGATCATGGAGGGGGTGACCACATATATATATACATACATACATATGTATATATACATATTATATAATACATGTATAGACACATAATGAATAACATGCACACATATAAGTCGAACCCAAACGAGCTCCAAATGTACAGTATACATACATGTATATACATTCAGATCTGTGTAGATACACACATATATATATATATACACATTGTATACAATATGATTTGATTAATATCTACTGTACAGAGAAATATACGGTTCTCTACACAATCAACGTGTGGCGCGTCCACATCTGCGAGGATTGGGTGCCGCCATCTGCGGGGAAACTGCGGAAACTCTGCCGCCGGCCTCGGCAGGTGCGGTTTTCATCGATCAAACTGGGGGCAGAATAGTGATATCGTGGGAAAATGATGGGAACATGATGGGGATATCATGATATAACAACTATATACTGGGAATATCATGAGATAGGAGAAAATCTGGGGTATCCTATTGTCATCAACCACACATTTTTTTTTCAGTTTTGGAGCTACTGAAGAGCAACTCTACTGGTGTCATAGCAGCAGCGAGTATCCCATGCCCGTCCTCCTCTCAAACCACCTTTGAAATCCTATGAGGTGAAACCCGATGACGCACTGGGAGAGCTTCGCGTTGCGCGCGCCAAAAAATCCGGGGCCACAAGGGGAGCACAGCAAAGGTCGGGGATTTGCACCCCAATTTCTGGGGTGTATTGTCATTTTCTCCTTGAAGTGGCAGGAGCTGGCCAGAAATTAGTATCCCCCCATTTTGATCACACGAGAGACATCGCTGAATTGACTGGGTAATCATCACTTTTCACATGAAACATTGCCATAAACTGAAAGTATACATTATACATCCCAATTTGTCCGTGTTAGCTGGGAAAATGTTGCCATATTTCAACAATATTGCCAGTTATATCATGATATCCTATTGTTGATTAGTGTGTATTCCATCTCCATCTCCATTATATCACCGTTAAATCCCCAATAAAGTTGTTGGAAAACATCCGTCCAAAGAATTTCCGGATTTATATGGAATATATGTTTTGAATAAGGTAAAGATCATTAGAACAATATCCCATTAATAGCCAATCCATCAATCATAATTTTTCCTTACTAATTATCAAATTTCCTAGAGTGATGGAATTGATGGATTGGAAATATCCCATTAATATCGCATTCATATTCCAGTAATATTCAATCCATCAATCATCAATCATCTTAAACTGGCCACGATTGATTGGACGAAATTTTCAGGGCGCTGCTTCGGAGCCATCGCTTTGTCATCTCAGCGTGCTCGAGAAGCTTCAGGACGGAGATCAATGGAGACCCCGGATGGGTGCTACACCTGAAACTCGTGGTTGCAGATTATGTTGGAGTTTTATATTATAGATATAGATATAGATGTAGATATACTGTGAAACTTGGATGAGGCTTTGTGAAGCTCATTGCCAGGAAAACAAACGAAAAGTTCCGGAGTCTCCGCTACTCACTGCACGCAGAGGGGGGCTGACTGTGTATGCAACACCCTGGTCCCAGAAACGGGGCCGCCATTTTGGAAGCCTTTCCTTCTTCCGGCAATATTGCGGCCCCGTTTTTGGGGCAGGTTTTTGGCGCCATTTTTGGGACCACGAAGGGGCAAACAGAAGCTGCTCAATGGTCCTGACGGCCCGGATTTCGTCCATTTGCTGGCACCAGCCTTCCTTCTGCAACGCAAGCCGCCATGGACACACACACACACATCCGTATAATACTATGAGGGGACATGGCGCAGAAGCTGTTTTGAATCAGTGAAAAGGGCCCACTTTCCGGGGCCGCAGAAGCCATGCTAACCTTTTGCGCTCTGGCAGCGTGCCGCCTTTACAACGCTTATGTCAGAAAGCTGTTTTCGTGCATCTTGGCAGAAGTGTGTGGCGTGCAATTGTTGCCGTGCATCCCGTCCGCGCGCTTTAGAGCATACTATAGTATACGGCCAAAGCGCTAAAAGGGACGTAATCCCTTATTTACATGCGGGTTTTGACGGGCGTAATCGGGACGTACGAGGGGCGTAACCACAGATTGGGGGACGTAATCCCTTATTTACATGCGGGTTGGAGGGGCGTAATCGGGACGACAAGGGGCGTAACCACAGATGGGAAGGACGTAGTTAATCCCTTGTGTACATGCGGGTCTGAGGGGCATAATCGGACGTACGAGGGGCGTAATCACAGATGGGAGCGGCGTGATCCTTTATTTACATGCGGGTTTGAGGAGCAATAGTTTCGGGTAGCGTGTTTTTTTTGAGTTTGTCCACGTGGGGTTCTACACCCTTCCCTGTTTTCGAGCCACATGCCTTCCCAAACATAATCCGTTGCAATTGGTTTCCTCACAGTTTTGTAGTGGAGAATGCGTTTGGCTGTCAGTTGGCTTGTGCTCAAACGGCGCTGCCACCAGGGCCCGCTTTTGGGGCCGCATCTGCATATTAAAATGCACCCTTGATGGTGGGCCCTCAATGTAGAATGATATAGATATAGATACATAAGATGTAGATTTTACACGATATGCGATACTTATTGACATTATGATGATGATTTGTAAAACAATCACTGATATAATGTATAGTCATATAGACACCACGCACATATCACTGGGAATATGGTGGAGATGTATCTTGAGTTGGATGGGTGAACTTCAACCAACTTTTTGTTTGGGCGGAAACGGCCCAGGGGATCTGAGCAGCTCAGATGTGGATATTCATTGGTCGAAAGTTATTGCCGTTAAATCAGGCGGCCAAATGGAGCTTTCTTGAAATGATAGTACCCCCAAACAGCGGGTTTCAGCATAAATTGGTTCAGTTTTTGATGCTTTTGGACGGTCCCCCATTCTAAGAAAACACCAAAATATGAAGTTGATACCAATCTACATGGCGGATCATCCCGCTTAGTAACCGGTTAGTATTACTGGTAAGTCTCCTAAGTGGCCTAAGTGGGTTAAACCATTTATAAGTGGGGTATGGCTTAACTATGGTTATTAACCAGTCACGATTCGTGGGGTGATTTCCCAGTAACCATGGTATCATAGAAACATATTTCCCGGATGGTAGTTCGATGATGTTTTATCCATAATTTCCAGGCTTCAAACTTTTCTATCTCTTTGGGGTTCACCATCTTGTTAAGTCCCATGAAATCACCATTTGTTGTTGGTTAAATCTCAGTAAATCTTATAAAATCAGCATTTCTTCATGCAATCAGCATTTTTTTGGGGTTGGTATGTTTAAATGTGATTCCCCATGGTATTTACATGTGCTAATAACTCGGCTTCGAGGTCGCAATTTTTTTGGCCCCTCTCAGCAGTTGTGAGGACATGAAGCAGAAGGCTTTGGGCAACACGCAGCTGGCCACTTGGGCACCCAAATGGGGATTTAATGCGATTTTATGGGGGTCAAATGGAAATTTAAGTAACAACAAATGGTGATTTTGTGGGATTTAACGGGAAACACTTTTCAGTTTGTTGATTTTTGTAAAACAAATCATCTTGTTGTTTGATTGTGTTAGTAGGATACTAATTCCTCCCCCCGATGATATTGAATACCCCCTCCGATTGAGTCACCGTGGGTATACCCCATGGTAGGCAGCCATAGCAGGTGCCTCTTCTCGTGGCTGACCTTGGATAGCAACCGGCCCACCACAAAAGACAGTTCTTAGTGAGATATGATGACAATGGCTACAATTCACCCAAATTCACCAAGAAATTCCACAACCAACAACCAGTTATCCCAGTTCTCCCCATCCACAACCAGCTTAAAGCTTCTCGTTTCTGCTATGTTTAACAGGTTTAAACCACCCGGCTTAGCGAAAAGGTCCACGTGATGAAGGACAAGTTCGCCGCCAGTCGCGATGCGTTTTCTGGCGGAATGTTAGTTGCGTGGTTCAGGAGTGAATATCAACAACCAGGAAATCCCCTATAAATGGCAATTGGACATCCCCTATATATAAGTTTAGGCCTTCATGGGAACATCAACTATAAATAAGATATTTTTCATTGCCACGGAGGGTAAACCTTTACAAAGGCCGGTTTTAAAGTTTTCCTATAGTTTATAAGCGAGAATTGGGGACTGAATGACTAATTGTTGGCAGAAATGACTGTGGTAGAGTCATGGTTAAGAAGGCCTTACCAGTGGTCGTTGGTGGTTCTAATAAACCCTTGATGAACGCGCATTCAACACCCATGATTCGGGGGTCACCTGACTGTGGTCTGGTGGAACTTGGGGTGTTAGCGAACAAATCACGATTTCAAAGCACAAGGATTTTGAGCTATGATCAGGATATAATAATGCATCATCATATGTAGAACCATTGCACAGTAGAACATGAATGCAAGATAATGCAAGCATGCGTTCGATCTTTTCCTTTGTATTTTCAGAACATTTGACACACATGTATTCAATTCAATCAATCTAAGTCTTTTGCCGTTGGCATTTTTCGCTGGGTAAACCTGGGTCCGTGCGGGCTAACAGCTTTAATTTTCTACCATTTAAATGGTGGCTTTCTCAGACTTGGGGCCAGCAAACACCATTCTAAATTTGGACATGTTTTGCACGTTATGCAATCTTTAGTTTTGAACTTGTTGACATCCCCTGGTTTCTCGGGGATCGCAAGTTCGAAACCCATAAAATGGTGGAATCTCCAAGCCGCAGCCATTGAGCGAACCGCGGCCAGTTTCAGGGAGCTCCAAGGCATGGTTTCACGTTGCCATGTTTGATTACCGGTACTGTAGTTCAAGTGGGTTTGAACATTTAGAGAACCACTTGGTTTATCATATAGCCAATTTTCAGATACAGCCAGGTGTTCACCTTGGGTCCCGTTTTCATCGTTGGTTGTCTCCGTGTAATGTTCACCCAAATCAACGACATTGCGGGCAATGCATAGTAACATCCGCCTTTCAGTTGGTTATATACCGATGTTTGCCGGTTACATCCCCTGTCATTCATATCATCTGGTTGGTGGTTTCAAACATGTTTATTTTCCATAATATATAGGATAATCCTTCCCATTGACTAATATTTTTTCAAGATGGTTAAAACCACCAACCAGTCATGGATGGGCAAATTTCTCAGCATGACAACTCGTTTTGAGGCTGACCTTTCATGTCACCTTCTCGGAGAAACCATTTTTTCTCGGACACTTATATAAAGGAGCGCAGCCATTGTAGCTGTAATTAATCAGAGCTATTGCGGAAACCTTTGCTGTTTTTGATTCATATTCCATGGAATAGTCCAATTCCATGAATATTCCATGAATATTGCCATGATATTCCCATTGTCCCAGCATTTTTGTTGATGACATCTCCTACTCGATGCCCTCCCGACATCTCTAGAAGGCCATGGCGGAGGAGTCAGAGGACGTGGCGCTGATGAAGATCACTGCGAAGAAGTGGCTCGCTGGTGGTGACGGTTTTTTTGTGGGTAAAAAAGATGGCAAACAATGGGAAAGTCCATGGGAAATGAATGGGAAATGAATGGAATATGAGTGGATCATTATAACTTACCTAGAATGACGGCAATATATGGTGAGAATTTGTAGGAATCCCTTCCAAACAATAGTGAAAAATAGAGAAAAGGTAATATCTAACTAAAACACTGATATCAACTATATATTTCTATCTTGTTGGGGTTTGCTATATGTTAATATATCAAGGCAAGCAGTTTTATCTGGGATATGATTGTGATGTTATGGGGATATACTTTTGGGGTATAGTAACATTTTACTGGGGATTTTTCTGGAGATACAATGTGGGTGTCAAACCAAGCATTTTATGGGAATACAATTTGGGATATGATTCGGGGTTTGAAACCAACCATTTTATGGGTAGTGATTCGTAATGATCTATTGGAGTATTCGTGGTTCTTACATGTTCTTATGGGGTTTAAGCAACAAACAGTTGTGTTGTCTTGATGGAAACAAGGGGGGATATGAACCATCAAGAATGGGGATCAAACTTTTCAGGTTGGGTTATAGCAAATAGGTGAGCTGTTTGGATCCTAAGAATGGATGATCTTCAAAGGTTGTAAAACGTTTGAAGAATGGTTATTAAATCATAACAATACATACTAGGGTTGTAGAAACGATGGTGATCAATGGTTATCAGAATGGTTATCAATGCTTGTAATACTCGGGTTTCATGGATATCAATGGTTGCCAGAATGAAGAGATGGCTAGAAATTGCAAATATTCGTGTACTTGAGATATGATATAACTTAGCAAGTGATAATCTAGTAAGCTTTCTACCAATCACTTTTTCAGATAGTACAATATAGCTGGTTATAGCAATTATGGAAAGAAATGATAGAAATGATAGATGACAATAGTTGGGATGATGGGCCCGTGGATTCGATCTAAATAGCCAGAAAGTGGGGACAATGGTCACCCCGGGCAATGAGGTGTTTGTTCAAGGGCCAGGGTTGGCCATAGTTTTCTTTCTTTTTAACCGTAACATCTCAATTTCAGGGGTGTCTAAGACTGGTTCCTGGTTTCACATTCTTGATTTTGCACCCACCTTAAATGCGATCGGAATGATGATCTCAGTCTCAGATTTGCTGATGCACGGGTGGTTCTTTTGGGAAAATGCAGAGACGTGGCATTGCTGGAGCACTTTTTAATGACGGGTGGCGTTTGATGACATCGTTATATTGAACTTTCGCCATGCTACTAGACTAGATGTTTTCAGAGTGTTTAAGATGAGGAGACATGCTATGGTACCCTACACTTACACCATCTTAAACCACCCAAAAAAACAATGCATCCTGACTTTGCATATGTTTCCCCAAAGGAACGTGGCCTTCTACATGCGCGCGGCCGCATCGTTCCTGCGTGGCACGGAAGACAAGAAGCCTGTGAAGGCGCCATGGGGATGGCATTCCCGGGGACAACGAAGGCTGGAGGTAGATTGAGCTGTGAACTTCTATGATATTTGCTACACATACATATCATCATCATCATCATCATCATCACCTTATCATCATCACGCATGCATAGTGTGTGTATTATACTCTATATACGTATGATGTACATAGATATGTAAGCAAAGTTGACTGCAGGAATATCATCATGTACTATCTAGAACCATGATGTATCTTGATATGCCATATGTATGCGATTATATATATATATTCACATACACAGATATTATGCATAATTTTATACACATGTATATATATATATATACACCAATATATGTATACATACGCATATCTCTCTATATAAATAGATATAAATGTATATATGAATGTATATATGTATACATGTATCTATGTATATATGTATACATGTATATATGTATATATGAATATATGATATATGCATATATATATGTATATGTGAGTATATGAATGAATTCAAATAGGTACATTGGTACATATGAAATATATACGTGTACATGTATATGTGCATACATGTATATATGTAAATAATATATATATATATGTAAATAATATATATCTGTAAATAATATATATATATATGTATATATGTAAATAATATATATATGTAAATAATAATATATATATATATATGTAAATAATATATATATATGTAAATAATATATATATATATATATGTAAATAATATATATATGTAATATATATATATATATGTAAATAGTATATATATATATATGTAAATAATATATATATATACATAAATATGTATACATATATATGTATATATATATGTATATATGTGTATACATATGTATATATATGCATATATATATATATGTATATATATATATGTATATATATATGTATATATATATGTATATATATATATGTATATATATGTATACATTTATGTATACATATCTATCTATCTATCTATCTATGTATCTATCTATCTATCTATCTATGTATCTATCTATCTATCTATCTATCTATATGTATATATCTATATGTATATGTATATATATGTATATGTATATATATATGTGTATATATATATGTATGTATGTATATATATATGTATATATATGTATATGTATATATACATGTATATACATATATATATATGTATATATATTTATGTATATATGTATATATGTATATATGTATATATGTATATATGTATATATGTATATATGTATGTATGTATGTATATACGTATATATGTATACATGTATGTATATATGTGTACGTGTGTATGTGTATATGTGTATGTGTGTAAATGCGTAGATGTGCATACGTGATTATACGTGTATATGTGTATATGTATAGATTTAGTCGAAGTACGACGCAATCATGTAAATACCTTCTCACATCCTGCGCATTTATAGCATGTGTGTTGTAAATATGTAAATATCATGATATGTATATAAGTATGTACATATGTAAATATGTAAATATGTATAATATAATTATATCACATCACATGTAACGTATATAACATAAGCATGTATAAATATTGTTTCAATATGTACACGTCATATATATAATTATATATATATATCACAAGCGTCATATTATCAACAGATGTCGGCAGATTTCAGATGTCATATTGCTGACCAAATATTACTAATAACTGTCATATTACAAATAACCGTCATATTACTAGTGTTTCTTATGTCACATACATGTCATATCACCAATAAATCATGGAAGATTGCATTATATATTTATATCACGAATATGTATATATATATATACATATGTATAGATATACATATAAGTAACATATTATCATATTATATATATATATGTATATCACCAGATATCACCAATAATTCATAGACTCTTATCTATATCACCAGTATATATCACCAGATATATGATTAGAATAGTATTTCAGATTAATATCAATGATATATATACTGGTGATATATTTAGTATCCCATGTTTTTTTTAAAACATATTCTTTATTACCAGATATCTAGATATATATCATACTGGAAATCCTATGATTAAATATGAAGATTTCACGATTCTTCCGTTCTCCCTCTGTTGTTTCCCCAGGAGCTTCGCCTCACGGCCCTGGGCGAAGCCATTGGCATCGTGGCCTCGGTGGCCTCGCGCTGTGAGAAGGAGGAGCTGGCGGTCATTAAGGAGGCCTCCATTTTTTGATGTTTTGGGCAGTTTTTTTTGTTACATATATATATATATATGTGTCATATATATATATCATATGTACATGTATATATTATATGTATATATGTACATTCTTCTCTTTATGTATATATGTACATTCTTCTCTTTATCACCTTTTTAAAGTCATTAGCAACACTGAGAAAACCAGATATTGACAATTCTTGAAATTGTTGGACAGGTTTTCAGTTTGTTTCGAAACCATGAGAAGAATGGATAAGACATATATGGGATGGTTAGGTGTAAAAGATGATGCTTCTTTTCCTAGAGTTTGGATGAATGAATTGGCCTTATTTGATCAACAAAGGACTATGGGCCCCGCTCCCAAAGGTTCATCGACATTTCCAAGGGGCCAGGCAGTTGTGAAATGGACTGCAAGTTGCATTGCTGGTCCTTGGGGTATACACCAACCCATCATTGGGTTGATTTGAGACTCAATGACTTCAGTTACTGAGAGGCCGCTTGGGCACCATAAAGATAGGATATTAGATATATCAACCATGAAGATAGGCTATAAAGATAGGCTATAAAGATAGGCTATAAAGATAGACTATAAAAATGGCACCATCTGTCCTGACCTTGCAACGAACTTCAAGGCTGATCCAAGCTGTGCCCGTTGTTGCCGGTCGAGGTGAAGACGGACTATGCCGATGTGCAGACCAGCAGTGGAACCACCAGAGGTTGTGCACAACTCCAGGTGGATCCAATGGGCTCAGGATTTCGATGATTTCGATGAGAATTCATGTGATGTTTCGGTAGTTTCGGTCAACTTTGATCCATAGTTGGTCAATATGGTCAATTGTTCAAGGTTTAGCTTGAAATGGAGGAGTATGACACTGAAATCGCTCATCCGACTGCGAGTAGCTAGGACCTGAAGGTGCGAGCAATGGCGGTTGTTTTTTCCACTATGGCACGAATGATTTTAATCATCCAAAGGTCCATTTTTGCAGGATGCTTGAACCTCCATTTTGCAAGGTCCATTTTCACTATGGCATTTTTTCCGATGCGTAGGTGGTGCTCCTAAACACCTCCTCCGGGGCCAAAGCATAAGAAAAAAGAGGCTTGGAGGGCACTGGGACGGATCCACCCTCCTGATGTTTCTGATGTTTTTTTTTTTTTCGACCACCTTTTTGGTTGTGGCTTGGAGATTCGACATTCACCATGTGAACTTTGAGGGGTTACTCCATTTTGGTCGATGCGACAAAAACGCCAGGAGCTTTCACCAAAAGCTGCAGTGATTCAGCCTGCTTCCACCAGCGACAGTGTTGGAAAATTAGCGGGATGGAGTTGGTGAAATGGAGAGTTTTCATAGACCAGACTGGGTAAGCTGAACTCCCAAGCCATGATGATAAGCAGTGGAATCATCCCAAAGACTCCGATGGATTACATGATTACTTGAAATCAGTGAGAGAAATTTGATAAACTTTGCCAAGGAACATGAGCTATTATGTGTGTCGAAAAAAGATTCGGTTTCATTATTTTGGCCAAATTCAGCACCATTTTTCCCTTGCCGATCCATAAGAAACGCTAAAACTGTCCCATGGCAAGAAGAATTGCCCAAGAAACCTGGGATAATTCTGGTGGTGGCAATACTATGGCCACAATATGGGGGAGTACACCCTATGACAACAAAACACCATCTATTTCACCAATTTTCTTGCCAAACAAAACGCCATTTTTTGATGGTTAAAACACAACGGATTTGCCATCTTAGATGGATCAAATCATCAATTTTGATGGACCAAATCAGGACTTTCTAGTATCTTTTTTGATGTAGGCCCACTTGATCAAATCAATGTTTTTTTTTTTTGGTACCCATTGATTTTGATGGTGAAATTATCGTGATCAGCCTGAGTACAGCGCCGTCTCAAAGGATTCCACTGGAGCTGGTCGTATATTATAGGCGCAAAGTGAGACTCGACTCATCCGGAGCTGTGATGGCCCCGCGAAAAAAATGGCGCTGGCTCGCGCTGGCTGCTGGAAGGGATCAATAAACTCGGGGATTTTTGTTTGAACATTTTTAGTCATGGAGTTAGTGAGTGATTTTTTTTGGCAGCAAGATGCGGCTTTCCTAGCTCTCAAAATCGTCCTCAGAGATTGGACATAGCCAAGCATCAATTTGTGCATTATTCGCTTGTGCGCAGGTGTACGCGCGCAACCATCTTTCGTTCCATCCCTTTTTTTTTGCCGGGTGTGAGCCAAAATTGTGCCAACCCCCCCCAAAAAATGTATATTTGAATAAAGAACTAACATGACACATATCCATTTGATTCACCATCTGTGGGTGAAGCTCGCTGAAGGGGGTCAATTTTTAGCTGATGGAGGATGTACACAGCATCCCAGAAATTTAATTTATTAAACGAGATAATGTGGTAAAGCCAATGCCATCAACAACTACCAGGAGATGATAACCATACCACCTATATCACCAATTTCTGATAAGTCATTGGGGATGATTTACGAACTTGGTTAACCACATTACAGTATCTGAAAGACAAACAAAGTCAACCGTCCAACGATCACAATTACTGTAAGTGATTGTTGGTACCCTCTGTTAATCAAACATGGCAATGGACAATTCCTTGTAAATGGCGGTGTAATTCGCTGGGAAAATCATCGAAAGATCCATGGTGGATTTTGCCCCAAGCCATGGAGCTGATGACACCGGAGCGTATCAACCAATATTCCATTCATATTCCATGAATTAAGTATTCCATTCATATTCCATTCATATTCCATTAATATTTCATCAATATTTCATCAATATTCCATCAATATTCCATCAATATTCCATTAATATTCCATTAATATTCCATCAATATTCCATTCATAGTTCATTAATATGCCATTCATATTCCATTATTATTCCATCATACCTTCCCATGATATTTTCATTTAGCACCATTTTTGTTGGTGAGTTCCTGGGTCTCAGATCCCAAGGTTATCTCACACCCCGCAGGCGATGGAGACCGGCACTGTGGCACTTTTTGTAAGGGCTTGGCAAGGGATCATCATGATTCATGTCTCTCATGTCTCATCATGTGTCATCAATTTCGGAAAATGGTTGTTTTTTTTTTTGGATTACTTAGGGAATCGTAGATCATCATAGATCACTAGATCATACTATATCACTGACGTTCGTCCCAGGAGTCGGCGATAAACAACGACCTGGCTGACCATGCCGCCATTTGTAGCTATAAATGGTGTCTTTTTGTGGTACCCTCTGGTTATGACTAACATAGCCATGGAAAATGGCCCATAGAAATAGATGGTTTACCTATTAATAGCATGGTGATTTTCCATGGCTATGTGAGTCATAACCAGATGGTATAAACGATGGTTCTTAGGAGAAATCCATCAAAAAAAAGAGTTAGGGTTTGGGGATGACTATTTGCTAGGAAATCTTTCTGTGTCCCCTGGATGATCACAATCATCCAATGCAGTCCGGCTGCCTTGTGAGATGAATAGCAGATAGAGGTTTCCATATGGTTACCCCCAGTCATCCATTTATAGATGGATTTTCCCTTATAAACCGGTCCAGCTATTGAGGTACCCCCATGACTTAGGAAACCTCCAGATCTAGTAGATCATCAGCTCATTTTCCAGGTCATAAGATTTTATCTTCCAGCCTGTGGTTGCAGCATGTTGCAGCATTCCAGCATCAAAGACGAACCACAGCAGCTCTGCCCCAGATTTTTGGTGCGGCTGTGTGTTCGGCGCTGCCATGGCAGAGAATGATGACAGTAGCTGGTTGGTGGTTTTAAGGTTTTAAGCACATCTTTTTTTCTCCATTTTGAACAATATTTGGAACATATTTCTTATTTCCAACCATCAACTCGGGATGTTTTTTCCATTTTCAACCCCACATTTGGATAAATTTGATCCACAAAATAGGCCAGATTTCGTCATGTGTTCGCCAGATAGGTCGGATGCTGAAACTCCAGATCTCCGGTTTGGTGGGCGATGGCTTCGAGTTTGAAGCTCCGGCCTCGATGTTGGGCTCTGAGTTGCTAGAGATGCTCCGGGAGCGGGTGGCCCAAAAGCCTGGCACGCGGCTGTCGTTGCATCATGAGGCGCGGATGCTGGAGACCCAGAAGAGTCTGAAGGAACAAGGCTTCCTGGAGGAAGCTGACAGAGTGGGGTTTGCGACTTCGTTGCGTCAGTTTTTGCGTTTTATTGTTGTTGGTTTGAAAGATGACTCCACAAGCTTGAGGGATTGAAGAATAGGGTGATGAATGATGATGATTGGTTTGATTTTCGCTTTTTTTTTCTGTCCAAAGGAAACATGACACACTTTTTTAGACCTCTATATATATATATTATATAATTATAATTATATAGTGCAGCATACGCATCGAACCGGGGGCCGGGGGCCGGCAGAACCAGGTAAGCTTGACCTATGTTCACAGCAGGGTTGACCTGCGCTTGGCCTGGGCCTTCCTGGTCGATTCAGAGGAAGTGGAATCCATTGAAGGGGTCAGTGTTCTGGGCTGAGCCGAGTAGGGAACCAGTTGACCCATCAAAGAAAAAACATATATATATATATATTACATATATATATATTACATATATATATATACATATATATATATATATACATATGTATGTATATATATACACATAATATACACACATATATATATATATATAAATTTGGGATGTATGATGGATAAATGATGGTTGATGTTTTTCTTTTTCTGTTTTAAAAAGGGTTTCAACCCCTTCTTGATTGGTTACTAAAGCACAAGACATGGGGAGGTTGGGCAACACATGTTGGATAGTATGGGGTTTAAGCCGTGATGGTATTAAACAGTGGTGTTATACTACCGGGTTTGTTGGGGATTATGGTCTAGCGGGTCTAGCGGGTTGGTGGTTCCATCTGGGCAGATCTATGAAACTGTTAGGATATATCATGGTATATCCATTATTAATTGATATAAATTCCATTTCTATGAATCCATCAATGGGATATGTATCATTATATAATTGTGCCATTGATATCCACTTGATATCCAAAAATGTTACCCCAACAAAAAAACCCGATTCGACCGCGATGAAGTCCTCTATCCCGTTGGACAACGATGTCCCTGCTGGAAGCGGGTAAGAACCATGTTACAAGCCACTTATAGGGGGGTTTCCATAAATGGGGGCACCCAAAAACGGATGGTTTACAAGGAAAAATCATATTAGAATGGATGATTTAGGAAACCTCCATATGATCTTATATGTGGGATACGCCCCAGTGATTAACCCATGTCTTACTTGTTGTCACAACGAGATGGAACACCATTGCTTCCCAGGAAAACAATCTACAAATGGTGGGTTTTCCATATCTATGTTAATTGACTGGAGGGATTTATCCCATTTTTAGTTCGGGAATTGAGCCATCAATACATATACCAACTGCCTGGTTTGCCATGATAGTATGTAATTGAGACACATTGAGACCATCCCAATCTTGTTATTGATACAAGGTGGTGTCCTAAAGTTTGCGAATAGCGGGTATCCCAAAAAACCGGGTGGGCCCCTTTGATGGATTTCCCGGCCCGCCATGTTGAATATTCCATCATTATGTTCCGTTGATTCTCATATCACATTCCGTGAGTATGCTACATGAATATTCCGTTTTTTTTTTTTTAATTCCATTTCACATTCCGTGAATATCTCCATTACATCCCCATCATATCCCCATGAGAATCTCATGATATTCCCATTGGGCACCATCTTTCTTGGATTTCTCGGTACCACGATGGACACCGGCGAGGCGAGGTGTGTGGCTTACAGCGCTTAGATCAGCTGCGCAAACTTCCTAGCAGCCTGCAAGCCTTGACGTTGGACTGGTGGGAGGTGGGATGATAATCCGGATTTTTTCAGTGGAGCAATCGGATTTCATGAATTTTGCCAAGGTTTTCATGGGATTTTACAGAGATTGATTGGGATTTGATTGGGATTTTATGATATTTTATTTGAATCTAATCAGATCTAATTGAATTTTAATTTGATTTTAATGGGATTGAAGCATCAACCATGGGGATAGTGGAAATGATCATCCCGGCTGGCTTGCCAGGTTGGATGGTTGGATGGCTTGCAGAATTTGCGGCGGCTGAGCATTGGAGACCACTTCAATCAGAGCTTGGAAGGAGTGAAGTGGCCCCCCAACCTGGAGCAACTCAGCTTTGGCTATAGATTCAACAAGCCTTTGGAGGTGACACTGTCAGTTGGGAGCGAAGAGCGAGATGAGGATGTTAGACGGGTAGAGCGACCATGATGTTTCGTTGATTTTGAGCCCAAGTTCGCACTGCCTCAGGCTGTAGCTGGGGATCAGATTACCCGATTACCCCCATCCTCAAACTGACTGCATCAGCTTATTTGTCCCAAAAGGTCAAGGATGGTAAGGATGGGGTTGTCTGAAAACAGGCTACAGTACCCGGCTACCCCCAAATCATTTGGGAGAGGCCCTCCCTGATTTTTTCCCAACTTTTCTGTGTCAGAGGTGACAAGAGGCAATCATAGCATAGCCAGGGTCATAGCATGGCCAGGTGCCGTTTCCCAGTAGCCTGCGAAGCTTAACCTTGGGAAACGACTTCGACCTGTCCTTGGATGAAGTGAAATGGCCACAGCTGCAGAGCTTGACATTGGGCGAATGCTTCAATAGCAGCCTGAAGGGAACGAACCTGCCGGGCAGCTTGAAGAGCTTCCAGGGCTGAAGAGCTGCTGAAGGGTTTGTCTGAAAATGATAGGAAACCTCCAAATCTTCCAAAATCGGTGAATCAAAGTATATATCACAATTACCACCGGGGTATCGCCCACTTTCAGACACACCCTTTTTTTGAGCGGTCGAGGGGTCATGTTTCATCCCTGACCGGATCCATGGGAAGATCTGAAATCCTATAGTGAAGCCTTAAGTTCGGGGTTGAACATGGACCCAGCTATTTTTTGAGATGATGATATTGATGATCCCCAATCATTCATATGTCAAAAATTATCAAAAATAGTTGGTAAGGGAAACCTCCATCACTGGATATTTTAGTGTCTTCTGCTTTGTTTCTTTTGTGCGACTCTGCGAGTCTGCGACTGTCAGGCTTGACTTTCGGCAACAAATTCAACAAGTCTTTGGATCAGGCGCCTAAAGGGTTGATAGTCACGGAGGAAAAGGTTTGCTATGAGGGTTATATACTACATTAGTGTCTATAATCTGAAAATTTAGATGGAAGGATTACTACAGTGGAATGCTAAAGTCGTGCCTAAAATTTGGAAATCATCGTAAATAGCTGGGGAGCACTTGATTTGAAAAGTCGTGCCTTTTTTGTAAAACGCAGAGGAATTGCAATGGTTTGTTGGATTTGGTCTTTGGAATAGTTTTTGTTAATAAATCTTGCGTTTAGGTTGTGTTTAGCATCAAGGGTACCTTTTCCATATTGTTAATAAATCTTGCGTTTAGGTTGTGTTTAGCATCAAGAGTGCCTTTTCCATATTGTTAATAAATCTTGCGTTTAGGTTGTGTTTAGCATCAAGAGTAACCTTTTTCATACCAAGTCAAACTGGATGTGAGTGTAGCGATGAGTTTATATTTCTTGCTTTTTCTTTCCAGTGTGCTGCGGCAGCCATTTTCACTTTTCACTGCGTGCTCAACGCGGCATTGTGGCACTTCAGCGTGTTGCTTGAGATCGAGGTGAGAAGGGTCATTGTTGTGTCTTCGTGTCGGTTTTAGTTTCTTATGTGGTTCCGCAGGCGGGTGGGCAGAGAGCCTTTCTTGTTATTTTTTGACGTCGTTTGCTACGTCGTTCGGACGTCGTTCGGCACGTCGTGGTTTCAAAAATAGGAAACCTATAGGAGAGGTTGGTTGTTGTGAATCACGGATGGCAGAGCGAAGCCACTGATGGACCGAGGGCAGCAAAGCGAAAAGAGCCAGCAAAGCAAAAAAAGTCAGCGGACCGAAGCGGCAAGTATTTCTCAACCCCAGAAACATGAACGGTAGAATGCAACTGTAGACGGATTTTTGCGAACATTTGATTTTCCCAAGTGTGGAAACATTCTTCTTATACATACGCGATTCCATGGTGTTTTAAGATTTGGGCATGACTTAGGCATGAGTTTCTTGAAACAGCGATTCCATGGTGATTTACTAGCACGTTTTGACCCAGGCATGAGTTTGTCGTTTGACTGTGTATATATATATATACACATGTATATATACGTCAGAAAGCAACCAAATAGGCTTCCCATTTTACCACGTTTCTGGAAATACAGTGAAATGTAGAATCACACATTTTTCATGTTATATCATTTAAGAACATGTGTAATGGTTTTTGGTAATGGACATCAGGTTCTTGGAATTGGATAATATCACCGTATTTATAAAATGCGTTTCCTTCTTGAACCTGTGTGTAAAAAAGAACCAAAAAACACACGTATTTGTAGAGCAATTTTTCCTTTAACACTATATATATATACATACACATAATGCAAACGTTTTTTTCAAAAGGTATCTGTGGAGCATTGAAAAAACATTTTTTTGAAGTAATTTTCCTTTAAACCAATACTTGCAGTATGTTTGGTACATAAAGAGCACCCATTGTACCCCCATGATCTCGCATTATATCCCCATGGTGGTTGAGTCATATACCACCATTTTTGGTGAAAACTAAAGATAGTTCTCTCTTTGCACCGCAGGTCGTGTTACCTGCATCTCTGGAATGTCTGCACTTTGGCGAAGGATTCGATCAACCCCTGGAGCACGTGTGGCCTGACACAGCACGGTTTGCGCTGTTCTAACGGTTGCGATGGTCACCGGGCATGTCACGGGGACATAGGTTTTTTAAGTGGGACACAGGACGCAAACCATTTGGGTCTGTCTGAGAATACCCACAAAATGCAACAGTTTTGAATGTTGACACCATAATTTCTCTGGGTATACTGAGACTGTGCACAATTTTTGGACCAACACGTATGGTATGTGTGCCAACATGTACACTCCGGTAGGCCAACATGGCAGTGGGAAGTCCACTTGTTGAAAGGGAGCAGAGTGGTATGAGTCAGGTCGTTGGAGAACCCCAAAGATTGGATGCACCAAAGATCTCGAGTTCACTTGTGGTTTCAACCGCACCAATTTTCGATCTTTGGCTGAAGTGTTGCCCACTTGATTGGCCACTTGTGGTTTCACCCGCACCAAAATTGGATCTAAATTTCTGAAGTGACCCATATTTTTTCCAACGTACCGTCGTGGACACTGGGCCTAGGACCTGGCCCCCGGCCTTGATAGACCTGACCTTGAGCGCACGCTTCAATCAGCGCCTGGAGCTGTTGAAATTTCCAGAGACTTTGCGGAGCTTGACACTAGGGCGAAACTTCAATCAGATGCCTGGAGCGGTTGGAGATGGCGGTGTTTTGTATATTTTTTTAATCAAGAACAAGGGGAAATTCATTCTTAAACATGGGATTTTCACCATCTAAAACGGGGATATGTAACCGATCATTATTTGGTCGACATATTTTTGATTTCCCATCCAAGAAATGGGATGACGATCCCCATTGACAGGCATATATGTTCAGGGGGGCTTAAACCACCAAGCAGTTTGAAGCGTTTTTTCATTTAAATCCATGATCCACCCTGAATTATTGGGGAACCTACTGGAAGTTTCCTTTTGATGTTTGGAGGCGAGTTGGGGATGGGTCAGAATGACTGATCCACGAAAGCTGGGGAGGGTTAATACTAAAGCACGTTTTTTTTTTTGTCGGGGTCCATTAGTAGCCGGATTTTGATCCGCACTGAGTTCTCCCACAAATCTCCCCACAATTCATTGACAGAGAACCTGGGAAGATCCTATTGTTTTTTCTTGCAGCAAATGCAAGGAATTTGTTCTGGATGAGGTGGCCCAGCAGCTTGCAAACCTTGACGTTGGGCGTCTTCTTCAATCAGAGCTTGGAGCAGGTGAAGTTGCCCAACTTGCAAAGCCTGACATTTGGCTACAGCTTCAACCAGAGTTTGAAGCCAGTCACGTTGCCCAGCACTTTGCAACATTTGAAACTTGGAGGCGGATTCACTCAGAGTTTAGTGGGAGTTCAGTTCCCTGGCGGTCTGCAAAGTCTCACGCTTGGGGGGCGAAACTTCAGGCCCAGTTTGTTTCAGGATGCGCTTCCGCGGACTTTAAAGAGCTTAACTTTTGGCCGTTTGTTCAATCAGAACTTAGCTTCCGTGACGCTTCCGGACCTCGACAGCCTGACATTTGGGGACAACTTCAACTTGAGTCTAGGGACCGTGAATCTTCCACAAAGCTTGCTGCACCTGACCCTGGGAGAAAAGTTTGATTTTTCCATTGTGGAGATCCGCTGGCCCCCAAACCTGCTGAGCCTTACGTTTGGGTCAAACTTCAACCAGAGCTTGGCGCATGTCCATCTGCCCGCGAGCCTAGAAACTCTGGTCTTCGGAGAGAGCTTCAACCAATGCGTCGGTGACTTACCCAGCAACTTGAGGAGCCTCAGCTTTCGCTCCTCCGATTTAGTGCCACTTGCTGCAGGTTTCAGCAATATACTTCTTTATCCTTGACATTGGGAAGGATGAGCCCATCATTCGCAAAAGATATGACACCATCAAGTCTGTTTTTGGGCCACGATTTCCCCAAATATGTATATAGCATATACAATATATATATATATACATATTATTACATATATATATATATACACATCACATACATACATATATATATATACATTACATACATACATATATATATATAAATATATATTACATATATATATATATTATATTATTACATACATATATATAATATAATATTAAATTATATTATATTATGTAATATAATATAATATAATATAATATAATACATTATTATATTATATCATATTATATCATATTATAATATATTATATCATATTATGTTATATTATATTATGTTATATTATGTTATATTATATTATATTGTATTATATTATATTATATTATATTATATAAATAGTATATAGCATATAGTATGCAATTAGTAAATATAGTATGCAGTATACAGTATAGAGTATATATATAGTATAGAGCATATAGTAAATATTATATATTATATAGCATATAGTACACACTATATAGTATACAGTGTATATAGTGTGCATGTACATATAGTGTGTATGTATATATATATATATAATAATGTATAATTGATTAATGAAGATACTGACAAAGAATTACGGTCCCATTCAATACCGTTGAGGGGTGGCCAGGGCCAGTCACAAGTTGGCTGATCTCAGCGAGTCATTCCATTATACTAGTCGGTTATGTTCGCGGGAACACATATCATGTAATATTCGATCAACATCTGTCCAACGCGTTGCAAATGCCAATCTATTTCGGCAGTTTCGACGGATTTCAAGTTTCGCTCCTATTTACTATACCAATATTCTAGTATACCAACGGGCAGGACTGAGGGTTGTCCCGGAATGGTCGTATGAACGTCAGTGGGAGGCTCATTTCTCTGCGCAGGTGCAGTGTTTTATGACTCTGGTACATCTGTGAGTTAGCGTGGTCTAAGACGAATTTTTGGAAAAATCAGTCAGAAAAGTGAACCCTCTGCGGACTTCAGGCGTTTCGGCCATTTCCACTTTTTCAATCTTTTCGACTTTTTTGGCGAGTCCGGATTTTATAACTTATGTAAACCCTAAATGAAACACCTAATAGAAGTATGCGTATATGTTCCATGGGGCCGGGGGATTTTATAACTGATGTTATACCCTATATGAAACCCCTAATAGGAGGTATGCGTATATGTTCCATGGGGCCGGGAGATTATGACAAGGACATGTTATGACAAGGAAATCCCCTAGCACTGGAATGATGGAACCAATGGGTTGCTAGCTCCGCTCTCGGGTATGGCCCTCCGGGCCATACCCTCCTAGGACGAGGGGTTGTCCCTTTGGGACAACCCCTCGTCCTGTGGGTATACCAACTACACACTACGCACTATGCACTATACACGTTATATTACACACTATATATATATATTTATACTACACACTATATATCTATATCTACATATCTAAGTTTACATCTCTTTCTCTATCTATTTGTCTACATACCTACCTACCTACCTACCTACCCATCTATCTATCTACCTATCTAGCTATGTATCTCTCTATCTCTCTATCTCTCTATCTCCGTATCTCGGTATCTCTGCATCTCTATTGATCTCTCTATCTCTATCTATCTATCTATCTTTCTTTCTATCTTTCTATCTTTCTATCTATCTATCTTACATATGTGAGCCCAGAAAACAGCCAGGCCGCCCTTTTCGTGGCCCAGCCGCCTACAGCACCTGACCTTTGCGCCTCGTTCCCGGCAGTGTCTGGAACGCTCCCCAGCGCTGCCGGAGGGATTGGAGACGTTGATCCTGGGCCAGTCGCAGCCGCCGCAGCACTTGCCCAAGGGGCTGAAGGTCTTTCAGTGTGCTGATCTGCTGCTGAAAGCTTAGCCGGAAACAGAAACGCCTGGATTCAAAAGATTGAAGTTGTGTGCCAGGCTGTTTTGGAGTGGGGAACATATTGGTAGGAACCCGTCGGAATGCCAAACCACAACGCGTTTTTGCATGTTTTTGCCGCGTTTTGGATGTTGCGTTTGAGGATGGAAAGGTTGCGTTGAAAACCCTGCTGCATTGAAGGGAGCATTCTGGATTTGTATATTTATATTTATATCTAATGACAAAAACAGAATATCGGATATATCGGTTTATAGTGTTCACAAAGAATGCATCTATGAAACTATTTACATCTCGTATTTTTTTGAGAGTTTGGGGAAATTCCTGAGCGACTGGTCCGACTGGTTTTCGGTGATCCCAGGAAGCGAGAGCCAACCCCAATGAGCATTGGCATGTCGTAGATTGGGGGAATCCAATTTGAATTTGATTTGCTTCAATCAGGAGAATACATATTGTATATATACCGTGTGTGTATATATATATATTTTATATATTATATTTGTGTAGATATCTATTTACAGTATATACATATTGGATTAGATGTCAAAAGTCCGTTGTCTTCTGGTCAAGACCTTCTAACTGTTGGAATCTTGCTAGACAGATCTTGATTAGACAGCATATCCCAAACACTGAAAACATATGTTCGTACACATCGCACATACCGTTATTAGCCCATTACATATTGCATTCAGCCAGCATTTGATCCACAAAATGACGCGATAATTAATATCGTTGGATTCTCAAATATCCATAAATATCCCATATCTATATCCATTCACAAGATATCGCCATTTATCATATCTCGATTTTCCATCGACGACATGGTTGTTTCCCATGGGGACCTCTGCAGGTGAAGCAAGCCATGATGATCCGCTGGGAGGCTGCTTGCCACCAAGCTGGTGGGAAGGAGGTGGTACTAGGCACGGACGGCAGGGATGGACGGTATGGCACTGTCAGCCTGATATGTTTATGTATAGACAGTTTTTTTTTCGTTTAAATAGCGTATGTCTTGTATGCTTGCATATTATATCTTTTGTCTTAAAATCTTATATCTTGTATATTCGGGCTTATTTGTTTATATTCGTATATATATAGACACGTCACGTATATAATGTATATGCATATAAATATGTATATATATATATACTTGTTTAGGTATATGCATATGCATATGTATATGTATGTATGTATATGCGTATGTATATGTATATGTATATGTATATGTAAATGTATATGTATATGTATATGTGAATGTATATGTATATGTAAATGTATATGTATATGTATATGTAAATGTATATACACATATTTATATGTATATACACATATTTATATGTATATACACATATTTCTATGTATATACACATATTTCTATGTATATACACATAATATTCTTATGTATATACACATATTTATATGTATATACACATATTTTCATGTATATCACATGTTCATATGTATATACGCGTATTTACACGCATATATATATACATATAAATATGTATATACACATATTTATATGTATATACACATATTTCTATGTATATACACATATTTATATGCATATACACATATTCATTTGTATATACACATATTCATATGTATATACACATATTTACATGTATATACACATATTCATATGTATATACACATACTTGTATGTACATACAGCATACACATATTTATATGTATATACACCTATTCATTTGTATATACACATGTTTACATGTATATACACATATTCATACGTATATACACATATTTATATGTATATACACATATTTATATGTATATACACCTATTCATTTGTATATACACATGTTTACATGTATATACACATATTCATACGTATATACACATATTTATATGTATATACACATATTTCTATGTATATACACATATTTATACGTATATACTCATATTTATATGTATATACACATATTTATACGTATATACACATATTTATATGTACATACACATATTTATATGTATATACACATATTTATATGTATATACGGTACACATATTTATATGCATATACACATATTTATATGTATATACACATATTTATATGTATATACACGTATTTATATGTATATACACACAGTCATATGTATATACACATATTTATATGTATTTACACATATTCATATGTATATACACATATTTATATGTATATACACATATTCATATGTATATACACATACTTGTATGTACATACAGCATACACATATTTATATGTATATACACATATTTATATGTATATACACATATTTATATGTATATACACCTATTCATTTGTATATACACATGTTTACATGTATATACACATATTTATATGTATATACACCTATTCATTTGTATATACACATGTTTACATGTATATACACATATTCATATGTATATACACATATTCATATGTATATACACATATTTATATGTATATTTGCATCTATATATCTTTCTATATATTGACAATATCTCTCATACATATGCACATATATATATATATATTTGACGGATACCAGCATCCCATGTGGTTTCTCTGAAGGTGTGGGAAAAAACGATGATTCCAATGGGCGATGCTAAAATTATTGGAATCTTTATTGGGACGATCCTGAAATTTGCCAAAAATGACGGCCACTTGCTACCATGGGGGACCGGTCAACCACAAGTGACCCAGCGCGCGTTTTTTTTTTGTCTTCATTGCGCCTTACCCTCTGGTAAACTAGCATAACTATGGGAAAATAACAATTTTTAATGGGTAAATCCATTATAAACGGCAATTTTCAATAGCTATGTTTGTTTACCAGAGGGTAATCATACTAATCATCCAATTGTTGAGTGTTTTACACCATTTCGTCAGTTCACGTTGCGCAGGTTTCTTCCTGGAAGGATTGAGATCACCAGGGAACTCCACAAACATCCAATGGTGTAGCCCCTGCATATCTCACCACCTAACAATGTAACATGTTGTGGCATCACCAAGTACAACCAGACGATGTATCACAATGTTTTTATCGCCGCAACAGATGCACGACATGTGCGTAAAAAAATAGGGGTCCCGCAAATTTCCATGGCATGCCCCTTATACATGGATTTCCGGGAGAAAAAGATGATGTTTCCCACAGCTTTTCTGAGTTTTTCTTGGAATTTTGTCACTGGTCCTGGAGCCAGAGAGACGAGAGCCATTTTGGGCGACCATATCCCCGTTGTTTTGTTATCTAGACATAATATCTCTATATGTATATATGCATGAATTTGTCTATTAGCATTTAAAACCTATACATCAGATTAGATATATGATATGATATTTTTTTGGCACGATCTCTATCTATATCATATATATATATATATCTATATCTGTATCCATATGTCTATATCCATATCCAATATATATATATATTATTAATATATATATAATATTATATATATTATATATATATTATATTCGATGGTTAGGGATTGCCGTAACCAGGTGCAGCCGCTGCGGGTGGCACTGGAGGACTGTGTCTGGGAGCTTTGCCCGGAGACCGAGCGGCACAAGGGGGGATGATGTAGTGGAGTTTATGTATATGTGTATATATATATATATACATTATTTATATACATACAATATATATATATATACATACATACACACACACATATTCATATATAATATAGATCGATAGACAGACAGAAGACAGACGGACAGACATGAGACAGACAGACAGACAGACCGACGGACGGACGGACGGATGGATGGATGCATGGATGGATATGGAAACATACACAAACAAAATTGTGAGCGTAAGCGATACGTGTATGCATTGATATACTTATGGTGTAAATATTTGCACAAGTTCAACAGGGGCCCGTGATTCTTCAATGGCTTTACTTTTCCAGCAAACTATGAAGCTGATTACCCAAAGATATGAATCAATATTCCATTCACATTCCATTCACATTTCATATTCCACATTCTATCCCCATTCGCGTGATATCCCCCATTGATATGACCATATTCCTAAAGTAGGGGTACCCCCACATCATCCATTTTAGTTGGATTTTCATGGATTTTCGATGATAAACCATCCAGCTATTGGGGTACCCCATGACTTAGGAAACCTCCATATGACCATTTTCCCTTTATGGCCATGTTCATTTCTATGCCACATTCTATCCCCTTTCTATCCATTGATATGACCATTTTAGGCTCAAGTTTTCTCGTCAACAAGAAATCCCATGAAATCCCAATGTTTTCTGGCGCCAGGCTCTTTTCCGGCGAGTCCTCCGCCAGCGCTCAGCAACGCCTGGCTGAGACCCTCCAAGCGGCACAGCAGCGGAATCGCCCTTCGGCAGCGTCGAGTCCCGTTGAGTTGGCGGCGTTCCATGGGTTCCAATTTATGGATGTTTATGGAGGTACCCTTTGGTAAACTAACATAGCTACGGAAAATGTGAGGTTACTGGAGGGTACAACAATAGCTCGATGGATGGTTTATAATGAAACATCCTATAAACAATAATGATTTGGGGGTACCTCCATGTTAGGAAACCTTCAAATGGTGGTTTGATGGTAAACCTTAGAAAGATGGAGAAAGGGGGGTAACTATATGAACTAGAATCCTTAGTTCAGTAAAGTTCTACGTCTACTTGTCTATCTTTTTGGTGGTTGCTGTAATGGTTTTAGCTACTCATATGGTTTACCAGTAAAATAGGGGGTTAACTAACAAACATGGCGGGTTAATAAACAAGAACGGGGTTTCTCCTATAATTTCCAGGTTTCCATTTTTCGTCGATGTGGGAGCTGCACAGCAACAAGGATCCAAATGGTGGTTAAACCTCTTAATGATTGGATGATGTTGGATAAAATCAAATAATCAAATACAGTATGAATCCCTTCCCCAGAATATTTAACACCACTCTTTTTTCACCGCTGCTTCAGTGTGGCCCCAGTTGGGGAATGTTATATGAGGAGGTGAGACTAGCTATGCGTTGCGGTGCAACACTTCGAAGCGAGAAGAGGACATTTATATAACACCAGGAAGAAGTTTGCAGGCTATACAATGTGGTGCTTTTGGTTGTTCTCTCAGTTGGTTTTGAACCATTATCACTAAGCTAACGATTGTTTTTTGGTAGATGTGTTAAAAACGAGTAATCCCATCCCCCTCATACTAAATACCCTCCAGAAACCATGGTGGATGCAGGGGAGTTACACGTCGGAACCATCCAATGGGGGTGTTAGATCAGGGGGATGGGATTATATCCCATTAATACCTCCATTATATCCTGTTGTATGTATGTATATATATATATGTATATATATATATGTATATATATATCATTGTATTTCCATTAGACGTCATGTTATTATATAACAGATATAACATTATATCCCAGTTGCTTGATGTTATCCACTGATCTACATAAATCCCATTATCTTCCATTATGTCCCATTAATCTTCCATTAATATTCCACTGATATACCATTCATATCCCCAAACGCGGATGGAATTATATCCACTGATATATAGTTTATTATACACCATTAGTTCTTATTGACATATTGACTTCCATTATTGAATAAATATCCCATCTTATCCCATGATCTTTTCC